AGAGCCTAATGCTGGAAACAATTGAGGGCAAAAGAAGAAGGGGATGGCAGAGCATGAGGTGGCTAGATGGAGTCACTGAAGCAGTTGGTGTGCGTTTAAGTGGACTCCGGGGGAGGTGGAGGACAGGAAGGCCTGGAGGAATGTTGTCCATGGGGTCGTGATGGGTCGGACACGACTTTGCATCTAACAACAACACACTGGTATTTTAGTCCCACCCTTTTTGCCTTTGACCCCACCTCCCACAGGATTGCCCCTCTAACAGCTTCCCCAAAATGGAACTTACTTTTCAGGCTGAAAGAAGTTCATCATTCCTACTATAAAGCTATCACCCCATATTCTTCATCTCTATCATGACTTTAGAAGGAGATGGATAATACATGTAACAAAAGCATAAGGCAAAGGTGAGCAGTTTCTGATAGTTACTGGACTGGAATGGAGCTGACTTTCTTTTTCCTTAAAAGTTCTTTTCATCAGACAGATAGGAAATCTTTGCACTTGTGCAGTTATTTACTGGAAAATGTTCAAATTAAACCTGGTCTGGGTTTACATTTTAATAGCAAGGGGGTCAAGAACCCAAGATTCAGCACAGTTCTCAAACTTTCATTATCAGTTACAATCCATTTAACGATCTAGTCAACAATTCTTACTATTATTAATGTATGGATCAATTGTTCCCTAGTCCATTACATCTAAATAAAAATGCTGAAAGCATGTTTTACAAAAGATAATCTCCCTAGTTTGTTTCATTTGTTTGATGTGCTACTTTGAACACAAAGAAATCTAGACTCTCAGAATGAGGCATCTCAGTGAGCTGGTATCAGCAAGGGTACTTAACATATCGTGATCGTTGTTGTTCTTTGTCTCTTTGCTTTATTGATTTTTCTGATTAAAAAATAGTTACAGAACTGATTAACCTGATTTATATTGAACCTTATGGGGAAATTTAACTTGGCTCATGATCAGTTTGGGTCACGACCAAAGTCCAGGAACAGATTAAGTTCGTGAGGCAGGGTACCACTGAACTGCTACCAAACTTCGACATTTTCTGATGACACGTCTCTCTCCCTCTTGCTCCAAAGCACCATAGTTAAACAGCCAAAACTGACTGAACATTGACAAAATGGGTTGAAAAAAATTGTTTTGCAAAAGCACAAGGAGCATAGTGTCGATTGATCTTCAACTCCACACTTCTCCCTCTGCATAGGATGCCCATAATCCTGCAAGTTCAGAGGGATATGGGCACTGCTGGAGGATTGGGTCCTAAATCCAATAAATAAATGTTGTTACAAGAAATTGCTTTCAATTTGTAATTAGCCTAAAAGTGATCCCACTTTTATCAACATGCATCAAGTTTAAACCTTCATAAACATTAAAATGTCCCTTAATCACTTGGTACATGTTTTATTTTTATTTATTTATTTTCGATTTATATCCCGCCTTTTGTCCTACAAAGGGCTCAAGGCAGCGTACTCCTCCTCCATCTTATCCCCACAACAACCCTGTGAGGTAGGTTGGGCTGGGAGTCTGTGACTGGCCCAAAGTCACCCAGTCAGCTCCATGGCCGAGTGGGGACTAGAACCCAGATTGCCTGAGTCCCAGTCCCATGCTCTTAACCACTGCACCACACTGGCTCTCATGTTCCCCTATTCACACACTGAGAACATACAACTCTAATCAGAAGCCAGTATTTTAAGGTTTTCCCTGCCCCTTCCTAGTAAATGTATATTTATTTAGTTTGAATCATATATAATACCTTTGAGAATGACACAAATCATACACAGAGAAAATAAATAATGTACTTATTTGGACATTTTCAAAAATGTCAATGCTACCACTGATTCATTCACCATACATGTTTTCTATTTTTAAAGCAGATCACAGGTTCCATATCATCTTAACAAAGAAGACAGATTTTATGAAACTGTTGTTAATTGTATAGAGAACTTTGTTATGAGTTTCGGTTACGACCCATGGTTACAACAATAAAAAATTTACAACTTCGCAGAGAGCTAGAAAAACTATTATTAAGCACAGGACTTAATAACAAATTCAAAGTGACATGCCGAACAATGGAAATCATTTTTGTTAGTTTAAGGAGACACAAAACAGACTAGAAACTTGTCCAGGCAGTTACACTGCCCTTTAGGGATGTACCAAGAAACTGATCACCCAATCTTCCCATCACAGTTGATTTATTAACTGTGGGACCTGGTAGTGCCTGCAAGACCTGCAACTCCTAACATGTTTTGTTTTTGAGGAGGACAACAACTACTGGATCCCATGGAAACAAGATTATCCCCAATTATCTTCCATTCCAGACTTTGCAAACCTAACTGCAAGATAGGATTGCTTCTTATGGAAAAGCCAAGCGTGTAAGAAAAACTAATGGAGCTGTCCCTCAAGGACCACCATAAGCTCCATGAAATCAAACCAGTCTGATCTCTCTCTCTTGTTTTTTGCAACACATTTCTCTCTTTGGGTCCTTCAAGCCCCTTAATTCAGACAACAATTCAGATGGATCTACACTTTGGAGAATCTAGACTGATAGGGAAACTGGACCTGTCAGAAGACTCACAACTTCCCCATGCCCTATATTATTGAGTTGTTTGAATGTGCTGGGACTGACTGAGGAAAGCAGTAGCAGTCATTATAAGGCGTGGCAAGGGAAGTACTGGCACACTTGGATCTGTAGGAGCTTAACTTACCGGTACCAGTGCTGTCACTCAGTGTCCCAAGCACCCAAGCAGGGAAGGGCTCAAACCAATCCAAAGTATGATACTATTTTTCATCATCATGTAGGTTAACTGCTTAGAGATGTTTATCACTTTATAGATTAATTGGTATATATTATTAATAGATTACATATAAATGTATTTAATTTCCATCAAAACGGCACTCAGGGTAGCTATCAACAAAGCTGTTGCCGAATGCCTTTCTTACGAACTATACCAGACTAGGCATCCAGAAGCAAGAGCCACCCATTGTCCCAGGAGTTTATTTTATGAAAATTATCTTTCCTTCTTTACCAACTCCCTTTTTCTTCTCAAACATAAGGGAGAACATATTGCCTCTTCAGACTTCCTAATGGAAAATATGCACTTAGTGCTCTGCAGGACTGCTCAGATGATGATGTAGTCATGTAATTATATCACCAAAGGTCATAACTTGAATTGGAACCATGGCTTAGTGGTAAAACACACACTTCGCATGACAAAGACCCAAGTTCAATCCCCAGCATTTCAAGGTAAGGCAGGAAAAAAACGCAGCATGAAAACCTGGAGAGCTGCTGCCAGTCAGTGCTGACAATACTGGGCTAGATGGACCAACAATCTGACTCAGTGTAAGGCATCTTTCAATATCCCTGAGGTTCAGTTTACAAAATGTGTAATGGCCAGCATATCATTGCAAAGCTGCCAGAAGTGGCATGATCTGACAATTTAATGATCACTTCATTCCCTACAGATGCTCATCATGCCATTTTGATTATTTATTTATTATTGTACTTCTATGTTGTTGTTCCTAGACTGTCTTCAACTTATGCAACCCTATGAAGGAATGCCCTCCAAAATGGCCTGTTCTTGGCAGCCCTGCTGAGCTCTTGTAAACTTGATACCTATATACCATTAGCATATAATAAAATCCCTATATGGTTATTATGTGACTAGGTCCTCAAACGAGGTGCCATGAAAAGCTCCCTAAAACCTTAGATGTCTGCCTAGTTTTATGGCTAATAAGCAGAGTTTGCAAATGCTCTAACAGCAAGCTCTACTGCACAAGATTTTGTTTTGGGGTTTTTGTACAGAAAGGAAAATGAGCCTCTGTAGATGGATTTGGGCTCATTTCTCCTGGTGATAAATTCACCCCAGGCAAAACTTACTACAATTCATGCTGCCACACAAGCTTGTGTTTTCCCAGGGTATGTAAACAGCAGCTGTATTTCACCAATCAAGCAGTAGTTACAATCAAAGATCAACAAAGATATCCAAATCCACCTTAACAATCAACCTGCAATATTGCCAAAGCGCATTTAAAGAGTCAAGAAAATATGCATGCTTACAAATATTAAATGAAGTATTAAGAGACATATGGTTTTGGAAAGGCCCCAGATATATTCTAAAACCTGAACAGAGAGAAAAAGAAAACTGTTCCCTCTCCACAGGCTCTGAATCAACATTCCTGTTTGCAAACATGGCAAATCCAAATGCCCAAAACAATCTATTAGTTTTTTATACCTTATGTGATAGTAAACTGCAGCATTCCAGTTTGAGTACAACCTGGGCTGAGATACACATGTTGGTACCTTGAATAAACAAGTCCCAGATTAAGAACTATTCAGCAGGAAATGTTGTCTTCCAAAACAATCATTTGAAGCAAGAGCTGCTTTATCTTCAACAAATTGTCCATTGTGGTCTCATCACGGCCACTTTCGTGAGCCACCCACAGAAGTTTTCATTAGCCATGATTTGGGGAATAGCTTCTTAAATCACACTTTTTACAGAATGTTATTACTCCACAGTAGCAGTTATCAAGGAGAAACACCAGATCATTTTTTCCTAAATAACTGCTTAATTTTACATAAAAGAGTTCATATAAAAACATGAGAATTACATACACCCATTTGGGCATCAGGCAAAATGGTGACATTTGGCTTATCAAGCAGCCTCAACTCTAATCTCATTACAAACTGAACATGTGACAACATTTGTAATGGAAGCTGTATACAATTTCTTGAATACTTTGTACCAAAATAGAGCTTTTTTTGGTTTTGTTTTAGAGTTCTATTATTCCATGCTGTGTAATCAGTAGTAAAGCCTTGGGACGCCTTTCAGCTGTTCATCTATTGAAATCTGTTTGATTTTAACAAAGCCTTTTTCATATTAACACTCTACCCAGCTGATATGCAAAACACCTTTGTTATTTAAAGTGCCACATTAAAAATGGTGTTCTCAACAAACTCATAATCCTGGTGTGATACAAGCAAAACAAAAAGGAGCACTTACTGCCATTGTCCTCAGAATCCTCACTGCTGCTGGGAAGTCGACCTCGTTTCATGATCTTCCTGGGTGACAGCAGGCAGTCTGTGAAACAGTAAAGCAGAAGTTAACCCAGTCATCAAGTTCTGTATGAGTATCTTTTCAGAATTAAGCAGTTACAAATGAACACAAACAGCATTAAACAGTATAAATATAAGCAATAAATATCCCGGAGATGTTTAATTAGGAACGTATCACATGAGGTGGACACAGAGGAGATCTGAGGATAATTGACAGCATCCCCAAGCCATGCATATCCCAAGGTTGTTAGGCATAGGGGGGTTTTTGCATGCCTTTGATATTAGCAACTTTAAAGCGACTTCAACAGGGCCAGTATTTTGCCTCTATAAAGCCTGTGAATATTTATATCATCCAACATCTTTCTGAAAAGGTTTTCAGCTATGGGAGTAATCAGAACATAAAATAATTAACTGCGCATGGAATGTCAGACCCAACAGAGACCAGATTCACACTAATCTAACATCTTACAGTCTGCTGGATGGAAAAGTCATGTATGACTCTAACTTTGAGGGAGACTAATCCACCTCCAATGCAACCATAAATGAAGTGAATCTTCACGTTACATCCATGTGGCCCACCATCATAACACAGGATGGGCTTTCCAAAGGACTTTGTTCCATGTAGCTACTTATGGCAAGAAGCTACTTGGAAGCATACACCTCTTTCAAGATTTTTTAAAAAAAGATTTCAAAACTTTCCTCACTAAAATCTGTTCCTGAATCTTTAGTAATTTTAATTTGTAATTCAGGAATTGTGGTCAAACTATGCAGGTAAAATGGCAGTCACTTCCACACGTAACTTTCCTTATGGCAACACCTGCTGTTATCTATTCTGACAGGTGCTGGAAATTCAGGTACCAACCTTCCACTGAAATGCCCAAGAGGTGTGTGGATAGGCCAAAGCATGGACAATAGAAAGAAGAGGAGGAGGTGGTGGTGGAGGAGGAGGAGACTATGACAACCCTGCAGCAAGAAAAACTTTTGTTGTCCATTTCCCATTAGAACATCTTTTCAAACAGCACCTTTAGGATTAGGATGTTTACTAAAATTCTAAATTTCTCTATGGGTTGACACATTTATTTGCTTACCAATAAATCTGATGAAGGCACTTAGGCAACATATCCCTGACAATTGCTGAGAACATCAGCATACATACTGGCTTACCAGCCTGTTCTTATAAATGCACCACACACATCTAGGCCAAAGCATGGACAATAGAAAGAAGAGGAGGAGGTGGTGGTGGAGGAGGAGGAGACTATGACAACCCTGCAGCAAGAAAAACTTTTGTTGTCCATTTCCCATTAGAACATCTTTTCAAACAGCACCTTTAGGATTAGGATGTTTACTAAAATTCTAAATTTCTCTATGGGTTGACACATTTATTTGCTTACCAATAAATCTGATGAAGGCACTTAGGCAACATATCCCTGACAATTGCTGAGAACATCAGCATACATACTGGCTTACCAGCCTGTTCTTATAAATGCACCACACACATCTAGATCATGACTTATCATTTTCTTTAAAGGTGTTGAAAAGCTAATAGAACCAGATTGTGACAAGTCTCAAATTGAGCATGCGCTGAAGCGTTCATAAGTGCAGTTTAAATGAAAAAAATCCACTAAATCTGTCCAATGTGTGCTGACATCAGCACACTCAAAATGACTATGAGGATAAGCCCTTTGAGGTGAAAAACTCTCCATCCTAATAGGTCCCTCTGACAGAACTGATGCAGCACAGCATTACATTATGCAAGAAATGAGGCTCTTCCTTACAATGTAAGAATCGCCAGTGAGAATCTAAGAGCTGAATGGCCAGAAAGAAAAAAAAGAGCTAAAAAAAAGTGGAAACAACGTGACACAGCAAGTGAAACAAAGCATGTTCCGCATGAATTAAAGTGACAAGTACTCTAGGCCATGCATCAAATCTCATGAGGTTTAGTTTGCCATGTTTCAGTTCCAGTGACAATGAGGGTTGGCCAAGCCATTAGCAGCAAAATCCCAAGGCATGCCTTCCAGGTGCAGTTTCAGGAATCAGCTGCCAAGATGATTTGCTTCTAGCTTTGTACACAGACGCTGAACTCATTAGATTCTCATACAAGTGGCAACTTCTAGTAAGGGGCTCCAGTGGTTTGTTCAAAACGGACACATGGCCAAGTAATATATAGAAAACATGCCTGATTGTAGTTAATTAGTTGAAAAAAGAACAGACTTAGCTACAGAAGAGAAAAGCAGGATGGATAAGACCTCAAAGGCACACAAATGCATACCCCAAGCACAGGAAAGCTTTTCGAGCTATGTGCACATGGGCAATTTGAGAAACTGTCCTGAGCGATGTCACAAAATGGTTGGAAGGCATGGCAAAGGACAAATAATCTTCACAAAAGAAGAAGGCAGAGGTAGTGCCTGAGCCCCAGCATACTAAAGAACTCCTTTGAACCCACATTATTTATAGTAATATGTGATCCATCACTCATGGAGTCCTCAACACTAAAAAAAAAAAAAAAAATCATGGTTCCATCCTCTTTATCCAGGTTTGTCACTATTTGGTCCCAAGCAAACCAAGTTTCCTATTATCAGGACATAAGACTTTGCAGAGACCCATACACCTTAAGATGTAGAGACTGACGAGATTACACGTTACCAGTACTGCCAAAATCTTACTTTAGATGACAATTCAGAGGTGCAACACAGAGCCAGCAGAATGGGAAATACTTAAGTATAACAGTCAGCATATGAAGTACTTCATTTCATAAAGTGCTGACAGATATTTCAAGTCGAGGATACAATTAACAGATTCTGAAGCTAGCATTAATAAAGTGGCCAGCTAACTACACTTATTTGACTTGCAGCATATATATGTTCCCTTTCATAAAAGTTCGCAAGATCCCGGATTGCCTCCTTTGCATCTCCTGGCAGCACTAGAAAAGACACTTGTCTGAAATCATGGAAAGCCACAGCCCATCAGCAGCTTTCTAATCTCGGGTCAGAAAGACCAGTGGTCTCACTTAGTATAAGGCAGCTTTCTAAATCCAGTAGCTTCCTAAACCTTTCATTTTCAGCACCACTACCTATGTGTAAACACCTCTTTTAGCCTCCGTGGCTTTAGTTTCAATGAAGTAAAGTGGTGTTGTTTCTACAACCTGTGATACCTGCCTAAGAAGTATCTCCAATGATTTTATCATCATAAATTTCTTTGCTTCTGAGTGTTATATTGTGGACATTGCATCCTAAGTCTGCAATTAAACTTAGCACTATTGTTTTTTGTTTCTGAAGTCTTAAATACAAATGAGAAAAATACAAAAAGCATCCAAAATGTAATTTGCGAAGGAAGTGTGCATGAATGTATGTGTATGTATAAATGACTATACTTATGAAGGTATGTAATAACACCACTCAGTGCCAAGTCTGTTTGAATAAAATGCCTCTTCCTTTAGGAAGTTAGGATGTGGAAGGAAAGATCTACATCTCACCTTCCCCCTAGTATACTGATTCCATTTGCAGGGGTATTTGAGAAAGAGTCAAATACTCAAAATGTAGCTAGGAATCTGAAGTGGTGCAGTGCTAAGGCCACTCTATGTATTTCTGAGTGCACAGTTCAGTTCTCACACAGGTATCTGAAAACCTCAGTCGCTGCAGAAATGAAAAGTATTACTTAAGACTTGATTGTGTGCTCTTCAAGAATCTGCAGAACTGTCAATCATATATGATACATAGACAGCTTCAATTCAGATATGCAGGTTAGGCAATTTACAAACTAAACAAGTGATCAAATGATATCATTCATAATAACATTTCCAAACTGTTGCATGCATCAGTCATTAAAATTGCCAGGTTTATGTCCATGTTTTTCACATGCACATCAGGCATATTGAGAAACAGTATTTCAATTCCTCCCCTAGAGTTCCACTAGCCCCCAGGACTGCCAAACAAGAATTTAAAAATAACCTTGCGATGTATCTAGGGCTGCAAACCCATACACACCCAAGAGCAAGCTCAACTAAATTAGTTCTGAATAGGTCTGTAAAAGAATTCACTCAATATGAATGTATATAACTATTGCAGTTGTTCCATACACTTACAGTAGAGTATGTGAATAAGTTCTAGAATAAGTGACTGTCATTGTTCTATAAAGATCAGAAGTAAATTAATTAATGGAAGTGCTAATATAGATGTGACTATAAATATCAGGAAAGATTCGACTTCATACAATATCCATACTTCTAAGATTAAGATAAACTTTTATTAGGAGGCATGTGCACTAAAGGACCTTTTGGACTACCTCGCATTCTTTCATTGGACAGAGACTACCTACTTGCCACAAAACAAAAATGTAGGGATTGCCAAGAAAAAATAACCCCCAGCAAAATGAAATAAAAACAATCTCTTTCACCTTCCTCAGTGCATCAAAGCACAGGCAGTATCAATACACACTACCATAGCTTGGTATAGGTTAAGCAGCAGCATGTGAAAATGTAGTCTGAAAGTGGATACAATTATTATTTTAATGGATGAAGAGAAACAGATTTTATATTAAATGTGCATCCCCAAGTCAAAGCTTTAACTACCTGTGTTTCCTTCCAGAGTACTTTTAATGACTTCCATAAACCCCTGGGTAAACAGGATTTATAATTCCAGTTCTGACAGATCATTAACTATAACAGTGTTAACGGGTGCCTCTATAATAAACCGCACAGGACCACTACAGAGGCAGCACAGGGAGAATGAAAATGCAGGCTCTGAAGTAAGATTGAAAAATTAGCTTTCCTTCAAAGTGGCCCGTGAACATAAGAAATATCAGCTGTACCAGGATCTAATTAGAATGTGTATGCTAGAGATAATTTCAAACAGTTTTGTAAATGTGGAAAGAAATACACATCTATTTTTGTGCTAGGTTTAAATGAAATCTACCTATTGCCACAGGGGACTGTATAACCACCACCCCTCAGTTACATCCACTTGACTTTACTAGATTCTTCTCCCAACTTTGCAGCAGTACTGAACATACATGTTTTTAAAAGCCTAC